TGACCGCGGAAGCCTTTATCGCACTTATCTTAGCGGTTTGGACCCAAAGGCGAAAACCCCGTTTCACTTGGATATCATCTGTATAATCTTCCGCATCCAGCAGCAGCGGCATCTGCGTCGTCGCGATGAGTTCTATATACTGTATGTCCTGTATACAGTAGTGTCAAATGGGGTTGGGTTGAATTATCTATCAATAAGTAAATATCTCTCTATACTGCATTCCGCTTCCTTTTACAGCTCGCGTTCTTATAATGAACCCTCAAACATCCGCGGGTTCCTCAACAGCGTGATTATTCATGGTGTCAGGAAAAGAGCATCCCACCAAAAAGCTGCGAGGCGAAAAGCCCTGATTGCGGAAAGCCAATATCAGAAAAAGCTTCCATGACCATTTTTTTCATTTACTTTTTCAACAATGTCTCTTTTAGATTTAGAACATCTCAAGAGCTGTGGTGCCCAGCAGACGACATGCACAATAAAATAGTTCCGGCACAGATTTTTCCTTCACTTAGATAATAAACCCTTCTTTTTAGAATAAACTGCACAAGAAGAGATTTTCATCAGAACAATGCGTAATTGCTTTGCATAACGTGGCAGCTCGCCTCTCTTTTCCTTTTTATTTATACTGTACTCCAGTCTCAATGTCTTGAGTGAGCTTGAACGCCTGCCCTTTGCAGAAGATCTCCTGCTAAATTTAATTTTCACTCAAGAATGATAGATCATAGATGCGCATCAATCTTTTTCCGACTCTTTTTCAATACAGGTTCATATATGCTTTACACGAATTTTTTGCAGACGTGACATTCCGACAGCGAAACATTCCTCCTATGGTTTTTTTTTTTTAATTCATAAGCGGGTAATGCTGATCACACCAATGCTGCATGCGAATAATGCGCCTTTGAAAAAAAAGTTAGGGTTTAGACTCCTAAATGTTTTCAATGGCATACTTCCAATTCTAACTTGATTCAAAGAAATGAAAAGCAATCCATTGATGCTGACTTCAGATGTCCTGTCGTACACCGTCGTGCAAAGGGCTCTTTCATCAAAGGTGCACATTCACTTCGTATGGAGTAAACACAATTTTCGCGTGGCACACTTCCAAGAATAAGTCTTCATAATTAATACACCAACAGTAATACTGTACATCGAAAACTTGTCGATTTCAACATTTTACCGCGAGAAACTTCAAATCCAGGAGAAACAGTTGTATAATGACGCAAGAGCGAATCAGTCTGAATCAAGTCACCGTGATGTGCCTGCAACTTACAGACACACGAGGGGAATTCCAAGGTATTTCTGACCCGACAGACACGATCAAACTAAGTTGTAACTTGACAATAACCCGAGCGAGATGCACTTGTCACATGGATAAAACTTGCAGCTGCTGCATGAGTTCGCTTCGTCTTCAAAACGAACGTTTAGCCCGAAATTGAGCCAAGCCTTGACGAGAGACGATAACGCGACGCTTCACTCCGTTTAGCTCATCCCGGCAATTCTCACACGGACAGGAAGTACGCATGATTACAAAAATCGTACCAAGAAGTACGAACTAACAGAAGGAACGAAAAAACTTCTGAAATCCAAAAATCAAACTCAATTCGACAAACCCAAAAAATTAGGAGCGCGAGTTTTCAATTATATACCGCGTTATTCATCTTCGCGAAGATAGCGCTGTATTGAAAATAACAAAATCAACCATTCCTCAGCAGTGGTTCACAAAAAGCAGATGCCTCAGCAGCCAATTTACCATATTTTTTGCGGTAATCGTATATGCATGATGACCACTGCATAGACACTGTGTAAAGGTACTGTTGAATTTAACAATCTTATTAACCGAGAGCGAGTATATAGAGCATGAGCTCAACATCCATCGAAGGTGCAAAGGATGATCATCCTTTGCACGTTGTTTAAGAAATGTACCGTAAAAAGCTCAAACGGAAAAATACATTGTAATAATGTACCGTATTCATAAAAACTGAGTCAAATACATTGGCAGCATAAGTAAAGTGCTAATTCAGTATGCATATATACAAAAATATTTATCCGTTATTCTGTAAATCTAAAAAGAGAAGTTTTTCAAACTGAAGATCCTGAAATAATATTGTATGCACTAAAATCGAAAGCCTCTCTCCTCTGATACAAAGCTCGGAGAAGTTTTCAGCAGTTCCCGAGCAGATCTCCTTACTCATTTTCTTTAATCGAAGTGAATGGAGAACACGGATAAGCTTTCTCACCTTCAATGGGAGCAAGGATGTTGCGGAACCGCCACGATCCGAAGCTATATCTTCAAATACGTCACACGCATAGCATAGTTTTTTCGAAGGATGTACGTCGCATGCTGCATATGGTACATAAGAAATAAAGAAGCGAGTTGAACTTGCTTCTTCGAGACAACTTACGCAAAATCCTGGAAGGCATGTCCTTTTCTTTCTCCCCGCACCTTAGCGACGCAGATGGAAGGATAAGCCGAGAATCGTGCGCGCGAAAATATACTGTTTCCATGAGTACTTGGCGATGACGATGCGAAGTACTTGGAACAGGAAAGGCACTGGACGGCCTTGGAATACTCTCAAACCTAACGTCGGCAATAATACGCAGAACATCGCACGCGCGCGCAAACTGACCACATTTGCATTTAGCATCCATTTACGGCACCCGCGATTTCTCGAGAAGCGCGTGACGAGCCATCAAGCAAGGCCACCGCGGACTGCACGGTAGACATTATCATCAGATTTAACGCAGCAAAAATGAAAATACGCTTGTCGTTATTAAATTATAAAGTATCACAACGAGTATGTCCAATTCTGCACGAACATTTTCGAAACAATACGATGGATCGATGATTCAGAGAGCAAATTGCTGTCGCACTATTTTAACGCTCTGTGATAGATAAGAGGGTAGAGGTCGTAAGCATCACTGCTGTATATACGTGGTTCTGCAACAGCAAATGTACATGGATATACGGACAAAGGAAAATTTGTGTACGTGAACTCGTTAGTAATGTCATCATTATCCGTGTTTACGTCAGTTCGTTCGATTAAAGACGGAATTCTGCACAAATTTTGCGCGTGCTGATTACCTCTTATTGGGAATAATACTGTAGTTCAGTTCTCTTCGATACTATGCATTTTCGAATTTTGCACTTGCATGTAATACGCGAGTGCAATCGACAAAAATCTGGAAAATGTGATTCACCCAATAACGGCGTTATTTCCGAATTACTGCCCGGCGGAACTCACGAATCCAGCATGCGATCAACAGTGTACGATAAGTATCCGGCTGTTCGTAATTAATCGTAAATACATTGGGAAGAAACGCATTGGCCAGGAGTCTACTAAGTCGATCCGCTTGATTTCCCTTCCACAATCATTTTAAAAAGCGTTCATCGTCATTCCTAAAGTTGTATATATAATAGTAACCTGCTGAATGAAACATGTAATGCAGTAAAGTAATTATTCAAGTGTATCTTCGACGCATGAGCCAATATACTGTATAATCAAAATTTTCATTCTTAATCAGGGACTGTGTGTAAGTCGCACGACCATGCGGGCTGTGTGCCTTAATTTTCCCGCTCTCATCATGAAGGCATCGGACACATCGCATGCTGGATTTCCGCATATACTGCTGGATGGTTAATACATTTTGAAGCATATTTTTTTAAGAACGTGTGCCGGCGTATTAAAGTCTTCCTTTCCGCGACGAAAGTAAGGAATTTTTGGTCTCTCACTAGATACTAGAATTACGGACAGAATACTTTGAGCGAGGATAGGCACGAGACCATTTTTACCGACATGTCTTCCCATTCTCTGATTCTCATGAGAAATTTTGAGCATGTTCAGGAAACGACTCGTTAAGCGTCGTCCATGACTGGAAAACATCGCTGCGAATAACAAAGAGCTCAAAATTGAGGTATTCCGTGTCATCAAACAGGGCTGTAAAATCGTAATTCCACAGCAGTTATCCTGGCTTTTTGTCGGAGACCTTCTCAAGGGCATATGCTGAGAAAACAGGTAGAACTTTGAAGAACAGTACATGTTGCAATCGGCACGTTGCTGCGGCATCACGACTCTCGACTGGCTGGCGCTAAAAATAATTTATACTCACAAAATGACCTCCATTCCGAGAAATACAAGGCCGAACGCTCGCCTGCCGTTTTCCGTCACGCGGCTCCTTACGCAACATCGTCAGGAACCGGACCCGACTTGGCTCAACTCAGAGCTGGGAAAAGGTTTCCCTCACTCGTTCATCGACTATATGTGAAATTTACATTCAATTCTTGGATCATGAGACGAGGACCCGTTCACCCATTAGTACATGACGTTGATGAGATTTGGCCAGAACATCCACGATTCATTGCTGCATGCGATGAGCTTTTCTGGCTTGTTTCTCAAGACATCTTTACATAAAAGGATTGACTAAAGGACGTCGCTTGAGGACATGGATGCTACGCCGAACACCTTTACCAATATTTAATTCGCAAATCTGTTCGAAGCGGCTAATGAACTTCTGTAATTCACGTCACACGTGGCTAATAATAGCGCTTAAATTAATAATCGACAGTTTTTTCTAATCCAGCGACCATGGTGGTCAATCGATTTGAACTGGAGCTAAAAAAAAAAATGTAAAAACGCCGGGAATTCCTACAATTGAGTTCCTCAGAAATTTCGACTCGGAGGAGCTCAAACAAAATCTCCGTTCTTCGTGAAAAAAATTCAATAGTCGAGGTCATGAGGCCTTAATTATGTCTTACCAATTAATGGTCGATTTATTTATAAATAAAAAAGGGATTTATCTGGCGCCTAAAACATCTTATTTCTCTGCATTCCTGTTCAAGATTCTAGCGAAATAGCCAGAGAGACCCAATAGGTGTCTTACAACGCGCAGGATATGTTAAGAACCATTGTCTCAGAAGATGAATTTGGAAGACCCTGGATGTCATTCAAAGCGAAATCCGGAAAAAAGCCACAACACTTGAATCGACAGAATTCAGGATAAAAAATACGGATATTTCAATATTAATTTGTTTAATTACGTACGAGAATAACTCAACACAGAATCAAGAATTTTGAATGCAAGTTGGTCAGATGATCACCGAAAGCGTCGCAATAATGACATGCGAATTTTTTTGAGCATAAGTTATACCCACGCCGAAAAATGAAATGGATTTTCTTCTTAAAATCTAATCATTTCCATAGATCCTCTGCTGCATTCGTCTCCGGCGTTCGTTCAGATACGCAGTGGCACCAGCATCTCCACCAGCGAGTCCCGGCCCTGTTGGCTGCACTTCATTCTTCCATGTGTATTTGAGTATGTGTTTATGTGGCGTGAGGTCTGGATATGATCCGAATGGGAAGGGCTGCTCTTCCTCCTTTGCTTTCAACTAAGGAAAAACATTGGGTTAGAGATGTACTGTCCCTATCTCACCTTCTTTCATCTCCCAAAAATTCGAGTACTGTAGATCGTAGAAATCAGATTCTTTGAGGCGAGACTTTGCTTGAATACAGTAAATATGTCGAATCTCAGATTTGAAAGATTAAATCCAATTTGAAACGAAATAAAGCGGCATGATGAAGTCAGGGGAAAAACGAAGTTAGTTCTCTGCTAATGAATTACCCATTCTTCTCAACAACAAAAACAAACAAACAACACCCACCATCATTCAAATATCTAAAAACGACGCGTCTGCAGAAATTCCATGTAATTCCCGCTCAAAAATTGAACCCCTCACTTCGTGAATAGCTGAACATGATTATACTCAGTGAAAAGGAGGTAGGACGAAAAATTTCGATTACCATTTCAGTTCGCCGAGCTAGTTTTCGTCGATTGCATTTTTGGCATGAATTCTTGAACGTCTTCTAGCGTTTACGGCGATATACTGAATTATCAAATGATACAGTAGTACAGTCTGTTTTGGTAGTGCGTCGATTTCCTTAATTTTAGGTACTGGAATATATTGTTCTACTGTACTAGGGTACACCTTAGAGATCGTAGGTTCCTCTGATTCGTGCAATTAGCGCAGATCAAGAGCAGAAGCAAGAGCTTTTCTAAGGAAACGAAACCCTACTTTTCCACTAGACGTTTCCTCTTCCTCTTCGAGTTCAGCATCCAAAATATCTCCATCGATACACGGCTCTGGTTCTTTCACAGAATCTTCAGCACACGACGGGAAGATCATTTTCCAAAGGGCCACCAAGAAATTTTCCTTATCAGGCTGTTCTGGCGGAACTGACAACGGGTCACACGGCTCCCCGTCCGCGTATACCTCATGAACCGGACAATGCGGTTCGATCGTGTCCGGGAACGGACCGGCTGGAGACCTACGCCGCGACCGCCCACTTGACCTGAACCGACCGGCATTTGCAGCCCTCGAATCCTAGACATAATCGAGCACCAATGCTGATCAGACGAATAATTCATATCATTTCAACATACGATCTGCCAAATGAAGGGTCTTTTAACTCGCAACAGCAGGCGGAATCTAAGGAACAACTACCGTATTTACTCGAGTGCGGTAGCTTTTTCTCTAAATTGAGAAGAAAAAAGGGGGTAAGCGTCATAGGCAGGTATACATTTTTCAAAAAGTTTTGAAATTTTTTAGGATCACGCATTAAACTTAATTCTATTGAGAAATTTCAGACAACTTCCAACAGAAAAACTTAGTGTAATGGAAACAATTGAAAATTATTCGATTTCAGTATCAATTCAAGTCGAAATTCGTACTCTTATTTTTAAAATACAGGTGGACTCTTTCTACAACAAAATCCAAGGTACCAAAAAAGCATGGTAGATAGAATTTTGTTGTGGAGAACAAGCCATGGAACCCTATGGAACCAAAGAAAAATTCGTTCAACAGAAAGAATTGTTATACAAGAGATCATTGTGAGGGAAGTCTCAATATATTGCAGTTTAAGAGTCAAAAGGAGTGGGGCGTGAATCCCACTTGGGAAGTACAATTCTAACCGCATTTTTTACTGAAAAATCCAGGTGCGCATCTCACTTGAGGGCGCGCCGTACTCGAGCAAATACGGTACCAAAAATTCGCGGAACACTGGTTGAGAAAATAAATTACTTGGTCGAAATTGATGACATTGATGGTGTCCTTGAAGTCAAAGCCCTCCATGACGTACGACGGAGACGAGGCCAACTTGTCGCGAGGCGGCACGTGTTCGGGCTCCATGATGCTACGGACGCAGTCCATGGAGCGGGCAGTCCGTCGCATCGCTGCCGACTGCCGGGCAATTTGTTGCGGACTCTTCGGTACGAATTTCGGCTCGGGGATAGCGAAGTTGTCAATCATCTTCTTGGCTTCGTCGCCGACCTTAGGGCCACCTCCGGCCGCCATCTTCCCGGCGACCATTTGATAACGCTGGAGTTCTCGCTCACGCTCTCGATCTTTGATTCGCGGGCCTCCCAGAGGACGATCCAGCTATAAACGAACAGTTCATTGAATTAAAACGCCGAACAGACCGTCGCTCAAATCGACACAGAACACACTACAGTGTTTAGATTCCACAAAGCAACAATCATTCGTGATGTTTCCGGAGCGTATTTGATCGCGTCTTCCAAAATATGGAAAATCATCACAGGGGTCTTCCGTGAAAACTAATTCATCTCGCATGATTTGGTCTTCGAACAAGGGAATTAACACCAATTCTTACTTCGGATAATGATAGCCTCAAAGCTTGGACTAAAAATTTTTCACAAATTTAGCTAACTCGGCATTCTAATGAGTTGCATAACTTCATATAAAAAATACGGCGAATCAGCAGAAACAATCCTCAACAGGTCCAACGTGTCAAAACGCCTGAGCGACGTGATGTTACTTGGTCTTTTCCGAATTTGGTAGAAATTCTATTATCATTCGAACCAGTAAAAATCTATCTTAAATCACGTGGGATTTTATACAGAAAGCGAAATTTAAAAAAATGAAGGTGAGAAATCACCCACAGACTCACCAATAGATCAGATCTGCCATCTGGATAAACGACCCATGGAATACTGTAAACATCGGTCCATGTCACATCTTTCCCATTCTTCCGTTTGTCGATAGGGAAAAACGGCTCGACAGGTGGAGTTCCGGCGGGATGCAAAGGTCCCAAGATAGAAAGCGGAATTATAATATCTCCAGTATCTTTTTCCAACCTAACAGGAGAAAATAAAACCCACGGAAAATCACGACATTCTAGTCATTTTTTTCAGACTTCTTCGGACTTACAGTTGATGAAAATCGAGTTCTTGCAGCTCAGAAATCCTGAGTTCGTTTTTCATGTTTTTCGCCCATTCCCTCCGCTTGTCGGCCATCTTTTCGAAAAATTATTGCATTTAAGCGGAAATAAGACTCGCGAAGAGACTGAAAAAACTCACCCTGAATGAATATCGTCCCAAATGCGTTTGAGCATAAAGCTCGAAGTGTCGATCCGCAAACGCCTCGACATCTTTCCAATCGTCAAAAATCACGGGCCCCGTTAATTCCTTCGGAGGAGGACTGAAAAATTCATTCACGCAACAGATTTGCAACGAAAAGTTCACAATCGAAGAGAAAACTCTTGATAACTTACAGCGAATCCCCTTTGACAATCATGATGGGATTAAGTTAACGTGCTCACCGCACGTCACCAGAATTTAGTCCACCTTCGAATTTGGAGTCAGATTAACGCCAACAATCCACGGACGACGATTTTCCCTTTATTCCGGCACGCCTATTTTGCGAACGCATTAGGAATTGAGAATGGACCTTCAACGCATCCGCGTTCCTCCAAGAAATATATTTCCATGCTTTTCCGACTTCCGAGATAAATCTCATAACCTTAGAACTCCCCAGTCGAGCATCCAACAACTCCGCCTCGAGAAAACTCGTGAACAAATCCGTGAAATGGTAATTACAACACATAACTCAAATCGTGTGAGAGCCGATTTCTCTGCTTCCAGAGTGTACACGCAGCACTATTGAATCAAAGCCACCAGTGTCCAAGTCCGAGGAATGCTCAAAAGAAAACAAACAAAAAAACCGAGGACGATACGACAAAAAAATCAATACGGCAAAAATAAATTATAGCAATCGGTACAGGGAAAAATTCAACACCATCATCCCTCAACAAGCTGTAAATTGGTGCTTGCTTTCTGTTCATGCTGTTGCCGCCATCGTCGCCCTCGGCTTCTCCTTCTGCGTCAAGTTTATCTTATCGCCCATACTCAAAGCCATACCCTATGAAGATTAAAATCAGAATAATCTTCAATTTTCATTCCTTCTCAAATCACAATTGAGCAAACACTTCCACATCCTGTTTCATTTAAAGAAAGCTAGAAGAAAATACATGTACAGTACTGCAATTCCAATTCACCACTTTTCATTCATAGAAAATTACGGTAATATTCTATCGGGTACTGTAATATGTAAGGTACTGCATCAAACACTGCTCTAGGAACACTCGAACAAACATAAAAATAATACCAAAGCAGATGAACTGCGGTATAACTGTGCTTGAAATTAAATTGTGACAGGAAATGAACACTTTCCCACACACTCATCATTGCAATCGCCAGAATACGCTGATTTATAATGTACTGTAATACTGTGAACTCTGAAATTCTACCTTTCGGCAGCATCTACAACTGACATCGAACTACTTTCTGTTCCGTTATGAAATACAAAAAGTACTCACCTGGCTCTTCGCTCGAATTCTTACATGTCCCGTCACGGGACCATCTCCATTCTTCTCGATGCTCAAATTTGCCAATGCATCCTCTCCAAACACGGATCTGCCAAACAACAAGACAATGAAATTACTCTATTACGCAATCAATTTGAACTTCAACACACTGCGATGAGATATTGCAACCAAATATACAAATTTCAATTTTAGAATGGAAACCGGATATATAAATCTTGAAATAATCTTATAGTGTACATTACTGGGCATCAAAAATTAAAAGAAAAAAATATATACCGTACCGAAAGCTTCAAAGAGGCATTTCAGCTTCAAAAAGAGCAAATCCATAATATTGTGCACAGTAATGTACTCATCATTAAGTAATTGAAAAATGAACCCACACACGGGACGTACCTAGCATACAAGTTAGCCGCCATAAAACCGCAGTCGCCGTCCAACGCGGCTTCCGGGGTCAAACACTTCATGTTGGTGCTCTTCAGTAAGTGCTCAAGGTAGGCTCGCAGGTCCCGCAATGGCGTGTTCACGGACACCTTATTCTCCCACTCGAACTCAGCCCACATTTGACGGAACTCAGTATCAGTGCACATTGCCGGGACAATATAGTCCATTATGTCAATGTGGATGTCATTCAGCACGACTACGTTTCGATCCGATGTCGATCCGTGTACATCGTATACTGCACAAATCAAAACGAAAGAAAAAGAGCTCACTATCTTTTCCGAAAATTATTCCAACATGAATGCCAATCAAGGGGCTCAATGTTAGGTCAGGTGTATTATTTTGGGGTTCAGGCCAGCGCTGCCCAACATATGGCCCGCGGGCCAGATCTGGCCTGCGGAGACTCTTCGTCTGTCCAGCGGTCCCTTCCTAACAATTTTCAAGGTAGCAGCTGCCACTATTCAAAATTATATATTGATTGATGAATTTAAAAATTCATAATGTCGCTCAATCCTACAAAAATGCTAATAAGCTATGCTTGTGATTCAATGCATAGTAGGGAATTAAATTTGAAACGTTTCAGTTAAAAGAGGAAAATTTGGATCATAAAAAATTACTGTCTATTGTGACCCCCAAGGACTCGCCTTCTCTGCAATGTGGCCCTTGGCCATAAAGTATTAAATGTGATTTGACCCTTGGGCAGCACTGGTTTAGGCTAGCTGAAAGATTGGGTGAGTTCATCCTTTTTGAGAATGACGATTTCTCATGTCCTTGAAAACTATTCCAGAAATTATGATAGTAGAACGAAAAAATATTCTTTACCTAAAAAAAATATATATATATATTGTATATATAGAGAAGAGAGCTTTTCCACACGATAACACCTTGAGTGAAAAGTCAAGCAATTGCTCACCAATGTTTCCAAAAATGATCCCGTTCTCAGTCGAAGAAACCTTGACATTGGCCTTAATGTTTGCGAAATCATGGGGTCCGAGAACTAAAGCACTCGGTTTCTCCACAAGCTTCAAATCTCCCAGCGTCGCCAACTCCAAAGTACAATTTTGTAGCGTGTCACCTGCGATGACCCGAAAACGATGATTACAAGGGATCAGACATAAATCCAAAATCTTTCTAAAACATACCGGTTTGATTCACGACAAGCACGTCCAGCACAATATCATATTGGTTCACATTCACGTACGCTTCCGCGTAAACGGGATCAGAAAATCCCGTCAGCTGAGTAACCTGGAAAATCAAGAATCGGGGTAATTTCGTTACCCGGCATCGACGTTCAAGAAATCGTTCCTCCAGAACAAAAAAGAAAAGGAACAATCTGAAGTACGGTTAAACGTTGCCAGAGAATAATGAGGAATACACACATTAACGAAGGGGGAAAACATCACCGTGAACACAATCTCAGTAAAAATAAGCCCACCTCTGCGTGTCAGACTAAATCAGCTTGATGGTAGGGAAGTTTACCTTTTTATAGGTGAGTTTAGGCTATATTAGTTCGGTGACAACCTTTGTAACATCAGAGCGTCAAAAGATGTCTCAATTAGTAGTCGTTTTATCAAGAGAGTACCCGAACTAGAGCAAGAAAACTGTAATTACTTTGCTAAGTTTTGTAGCCTGATCGAAGCCATCTTTCTTCCCAGAACCAGCCACTGCCCGGGATAAACTCAATTCGAAAATATCCTCTTTGTCAGCTCCTGGCCCGCTTCGACTCGCAAGTTGGCCAAATGGTATGGCATCGTCCGGCTGAACGGCGACTCCCTTTTTCTCCTTGACTTTTTGAGCTTCGGCCTCCTCGGCGGCAATCTTGACAGCCAACATTTTCCCCAACGATTGCCGGCTCTCCTTGCTGAACACGTTCTTCAGCATCACCGAAGTATCGTCCTTCCCACGCTGTAGATCCGACAAGGCTTTCAGACACAGGCAAATCCTATCGGTATCGTCGTCCGTGATGGCTTTGTCCGGAAGTCCTAGAAAAATAAAAAACATGGATTATTTGTACTTACAAATATACATTCGAAAAGGAACAGACTTCGAAAGAAAAATCTCAACGAAACAAAATATGCATTTAACCAAGTTTATTCGGATACCTCGCAAACCCGTTCTTCAAAAATGTTGGAAAGAAACAAGAAGGCACACTTCACAATAAATAAAAATTTTCAATGAGAATTTTACCTCAACGTTAAATCATGGCTCGTGTTTCTTGATTATCAAGAGCGCTTTGTATTCTAGTACAGTATATCTCGAACTGTATCAAATAAAAATTATCCTCATGGAAGTCTTAATTTCTTCCAATTGCTCTGTTACTGAACTCACCAGATTTTCCAAGTCGCAAAATGGACGCCATCACAAGCATAGCTTCAGCACAGAACCGATTCGTCTTCTTCGCGTCCATCCCATCGAAGCTACAGTAACGAATCGCCAACTTCGCAAGAGTCGTAGCCATACTCGCTCCCAGGAAGAAATCACCTTCCATCAACAGTTTCCGTAGCGGTGGAATGTTCGCAGTCTGACTTTTCTTCACAGAGCTTCAGGAACGTTAAAACCGTCATCAATACGAAAGCGTACCGGGTTCTACCCACAAGATTAAGTTTAGTGCATTGTTCAATGGAACACTAGGGCAATCGGATTATTCCGATGATTAGATGAAGCGGAAGCATCATTCCGATTCATGTAAGAAAACAAAAATTTCTCTATCCAATTTTACCGATATAAAAATCAACGATTTCTGTCACCGTTTATTTCTCTATCCATTACAGTTCGAGATTCCGCACAGCGTAAGTTCAACTGACACGTTAAAAACTTGAAATTAATTTTCTTCTGCCTCGTCATAATAAACAGGATCAGCTCAAAAAGGTTCGACTCGATTACAAAATTTTACGAATTGGAGCAAATTCCTCTCAAGATTGCGCATAGTTAACTGACACTCGTAAGAATTCTCCTGATCTCCAAAAACAAAACAAAAGAAGAGAAAAAGGAACACCTACACATCGGAACATCGCAAATCAACAAACCTAGAACTGAAAACAGATTGCGTCGCATAGGTTCCATCAGCTGTCACCAACTTCTGCACTGGGGTTCCTGATGCTGTGATGTCCGTGGCACTAGATTCAACCTCAGTGTCTCCGGCAGCTTTTCTCATCTCGTGATCCACGATAGGTATCTTGAAATTATACAAGCATACCCTGAAAAGACGATCCTCAACTCGAATTTTTCAAAACTCACATCTCCAAGAGCTTGACGAATTTGAGTCATAACCGACTGAACCTCCGACTTGACATCAGCGAACTCTCCCAGAATCCACAGACTTCCACGAAACACTTTAGCACTCTTCATAGAACTAAAAACTTCGAGCAATTTCTGAAAGATAAAAAAGCTATCAAATTTCCTAATCGAATACAGGTGAATCTCGATAACTCGAACCTCCCCAAGTCGAATACTTCCCTCTTGAAAATGTTATTTTTCTAGCATTATTCTGAATAACCCTAGAAACAATGCATTAAAAACCCCCTAAATCGAAGGCTTTCCCCTTCATACCTGCATAACTCGCATTTTCTGAAGGCCTTTTTGCAATTATTTTATGGACACATAGAAGAGAAAAATGAAAAAATTTAACTTGATGTGATTTAAAAAGAAGTGGAGACAAATTGGGCAAATAAACCCTCTCCTACACGTTCAGCATCCTTTCAACTCATTTGAGAAGAAATTCAAGGTCCAAAAATATACCCATAATGATTTCCTGGAATTCTTCGTTCCTTCCCCCCCCCCCCCTCCCAATAACAATACTTGTTTCCCCAACTCGAATTTTTGCCGTTCCCTCGAAGTTCGACTGTACACGAATAGCACGAACATTGACAAACCTCGATAACGACGGGACGCAACCCAGTGAATTTTTCGGCGGCTTCGCGTAGGAAGACAAGGACGTCTCCCGCGGCGGCCTCTTCGCCACCATCCGTGGCAGCGCCGCCCGCCATCAAGAACTCCGTCAACGCGGGAACAACGTCAGCCGCAACCTGAGGGAACCGCACACAAATGGAATGCAAAGCCCGCACCAACAACTGTCGGTACTTCGCAGCTTCTTCTCCGGTGGTCCCTGATTCCGCAGCATCGTGTGTCTTGGCAACTTCCTTCTTCAGAACTAGCACTGCTTCCGGAACGGTGCGCGACGTCACCAGGTCCAAAGCTGGAAACAGAAGCCACATTTAGAGAAATTTCTTCAATCATTCCTTTAAAAATTGAATACATAACATCGGATTAACCGAATAATGAAAAAATCCTCGAAACTAGACCGTATGCGTTAAAAAATAGACGTTCATCGGGTAAATGTACATTTCTACGCGGAGGTTGATTAATTTTTCATCTCGAATTACTAGAGAAAGACGGCTTCCCAACGGAAACTAACCTAAATTCAGAGTTTTTCTCCTGACTTCCAGATCAGGAGCAGCCAAGACCCTCAAAACATCCATCACCATTTCTTTCATGACCTTCTCAACCCCCTCGCCGCCTTCTTCCCTCAAAGCAACGAGACGATCCAGAACAATTAGCTTCACGTTGTTGTCATCGGTTTCTCTCGCAGCCAGGTCAATGTAAGCCCTAGCAGCAGCTCTCACGGCTGTCGGAGCCGTCGACAGCGTCACTAAGGTTCCAGCGGCTTCGTAGCGTACCGCGGGTGATGACGACGGAGACGACAGGAGATTGTAGATTGCGCGGATGAATCGACCTCGCTCAGACGGCTGCGCACGGCAAACTCGGTAAACTAGCGAAACTGTGACGAGTTGAAGAGCGACGTCACCATCTAGCAAAGTGGTAGATGCAGAAGGCGAAGCAGCAGCCGCATCCAATCGGTCCGAAAGATACGCCAACGCCTTAAAATGAAGGGTAGCAAATGCAAATTGCTTTCGTATCACGAGCCGACATCTTTTCCTTCGCAAGACACTCAGGGGCACTTGTTCAAGAAGATCAGGAAAACATTCAATATGTAACTCACTCTGTCTTGATCAGCTTGCACCAACATCATAAAAGCGTTCCGCTTGCAGCTGGGATCGCTCTCAGTTTCCAAAAACTTAGCCACCAGATCGGGTCCATCAGGGATCAAAAAATCAAATCTGTAAAATTCGAACTTCGTACTGGTATAAGCTTTAGATAAAACACGAAATTCTGCGCTTACTTGCGATGAATCGCGGCAACAGCAAGCACGGCATTCCTCCTCACATACGCATGTCTATGTTCTAAACAGGCGAGAATAGCTGGCACCAAAGGTTCCAGCAATTCTGGCTCACGTAATTTGCAAAGAAAGCGCAGAGTAGATCCTCTGATGTATTCATTCGGGTGTTGTAAATCCTAAACGCGAAGAATGCAAGTAATACACGATTCACCGGAAAATGAGCAAAACACACTCACTTTTCTGAAAGCGTCACAGACAAGTATCATTTCGCTGACAAGCTTTCCGTCAGAGGTAGTTTTAGGCACTACTTCCCAGAATATCAAGAGAAGTTTCTTGATAACGTGGTCCTGCGATGGCAATACAAATCGTATGATGGTCATCAACATCCCAGCCGGTAATCTATCTCCAGCAAGCAGCTGTCTAATGGCTTTCTTCAAAGCGAACGTTTTCGTCCGATTATCGCCTTTCTCTGTAAAGAGAGCAAAGATGAAAAATTATAGATTTTCGGCATGGAGAAGACAGAATTAATTTACCAAGATCTTGCTTGAGGAGCATATCGTTGCCTTGTTCGCCATCGATGGAAGAGTTGATCAGAGTGTAGCACGGCTGTTCCGTAGCCATGGCTTAGGCTCGCGATGCCAACCCCAAAATTTTAGAAAGATACTTAGGGTATACACGGGAAAACAGCTTAACACAGATTATCAGCACTTCACTGCCCGGCAAGAACGAGGAAAAAACAAACCTATTCATAAGCAAAGTACTTCAGGAACTCAATTTAAAAAGCCAAAAAGCAACGCCATTTACGATCACACGATATCGCCCTACGCCGATCACTCGCATAACTACAGAACCACCAGTAGCACCGACTCCGTTGAATTAGTCTATTCTTCCAGTTTCCCTGAATCGTTGTTTGATTGCAGCGCGCTCAGCAAGTGGTGGTAGAGGTGGAGAAATTCCATTTTGCACCCTATGCTGCTTCACTGCCGTCCAGAACTTTTTGCACTCATTATAATTGTCAAAAAAGGTTTCGCACTTATCACGATCAAAGGCATTATCATGGAGACATTTCATCGACTGGGCTGCTTCTTCGGAGCAAGGATTACTCCCGTTTCCCTCAGCTTTCTCGACAGTCTTTTTACCCCATTTCCTTTGCGTACCACTTCTCTCACCATCGGTAGACATGAGAATTTCCCTGGAGAAAAGAAAATAGCATCCAAAGCTAAATTAATATCCAACTCGTTCCAATTCACACATCTCGAGGAAAGTTCCATGAATTCTCATCAGAGTCGTTCATGTCCGATCACAACTTCACAATGAGATCAATCATAATCAGCGAACGCAAATTCTCAACTTCCTACACCTCAAGACCACACTCCACGTATCGAACATGCTGACGACTCATTGGTTGATGTACATCATCCCCACTTGTACCGGACAACTTCGTTTTGAAATGCATGATCGGTACAAGAAAACGACATCTATGTAATACTAAAATTAATTTTCGCAGACAATGATACTGCATGATACCGGGGAGTCGTTGCCAACGTTCTCGCCAAAACTAAGTACTGTACCGCACTGTAATAAAACTACAGTTAATGGCAATACGCAAGGACGAATGGACGAATTGCAGTAAAAAGAAAGGCGGAAATCCTTGAAATTTGTCAGAGCAATTATTACGAATCGATTGAATTTTGCATCTATTTATGGGCAATTGTAGATTAGCTCAATGATTCGTGATGACATCCATCAGCATCATATCAGCAGGTTCAAGTAATTTGCTCACGATCACAAAGCGTCTCGAACGCTGGTGTTTCAAGCTTGCAAGTACGCGCTGAATAAATCTTCGGGAAATTCAACAACGTCCGCAGCAATCATCGAAAATTGGCAGAAGAACTGCTCCTACAAAGAATTGAACTATACAGAATAAAACACGCATACACGAAATACAAACTTTTTCAAATTGAGCCACATGTGAAATACTTTGAACCTAAAATGCATCAATAAAATTTTAACAAGAATCTAATAAATTTGAAAGTACTGAAAACTCAAGGATGAATAATCATACAGTATACTTACTAGTCAATGCATGAACTTGAATTTAAGTGGTCACCAAATCTGTAATTTGATGAAACATCCGCAACTTAAATTCGCGATGTAAAGCTTTTTTCCTTTCTAGAGGAAGAAAAATTTAGGATTAGACTTGGAAACCGCAAAACAAATTTCAAAGCACATGTGAGAAATTAAAAAGCCTTTATAAAAAAAGCGTGCTGGTTTCCAACATTTTCAAAATCAATTTTGAATTTTAAAGATTATCATTTGTCCCTCAGGTTTTGTTAACCAAAACAAAACTTTGTACTGTAGCGCAGCATGAGTCTTTTGCATATAGAAAACACCACTTGCAAAGGGTCTCTTAACATGCTAGAAATATTCTTGTATTTTACTGTTTCAACTTTGAACGTGACGAATTCTTTATGCTACTAAAGCAGTCGGCAATGATCAAGGAAATTTCCGATAACCCACGGATCCTGTATTAGGGTCTTCAACCCCTGCTCGGTCAGTCCGGTACGGCAAAGTGAAAACTGTTGGTCTACCACAAATAGCGTACCGATGACGACGCGCGGAGCCAACCAACCCAGAACGAATTGATACCCCTCCTGGAACCAGTCGCAGGCATTTCGCAAGTCGCTGTCGAGCGGCTCGGACCTCTGCGACGAATCAAGTTGAAGAGAACCCAGACGTTTGAGTGTTTCCTTTTCAAGATGATTCACTGCCATTTGCTTAAAGAAATCGATTTTCAATTATTTGTTCGCGACGAATCTGTCAATTTGAGTGAATCCGTTGGCAAGAAGACAATCACGAACATTCTGGAGAAAACACCGACATTCGACTCGGCCATTTTCTTTTCTTCAGAGTGCAGAAATTGATTGGCGACTATATTTGGTATTTGTTACCTGAAAACCGTGATGTATACCTCGTACGTCGAACTAACCTCGACCTATATATACGCTAAAGCTCTGACTTTATTTGCTTTAGTAATCTCGGGAAATATTTACGTCGTCTATTCAAAACAAAACAAAAAAGTTCGAAGAGGAATTTTCAGAAAGAGGGCGGCTAGTATAGTTCGATTTTTGTTCTGTCGGATTGGCTTCAGCTTTCCAGGCGAAACTTCTGAAAATCCTTCAAGTTAAAAGAGGCAAGTGCTGTATTTACAGACAAATGCGTACGCGCATGTAAAATAAATGAATTGAAAATACAGTATTTAGTTCATCTTTATTCGCGACATTTTCGTATACGGTTTGATCCGAAACTCTTTTACGAGTGAATGAACAGTATTGTTACACATTCAGACGAATTTCAATTTCAGCGTGCGGTTGCTCTTTATACGAGTTCAGTACGTTTAATGAAAAATTTAGATTCGCCGTGAACGACATGTTTTCCCAACTATGCCATCCCTCGCATTTTTCATGCGATTTCATTGCTGATCTGCTTTTGGATAATGATAAATTTTTGAAAAATTGCATGGATCCTCGTGGAAACCATTGTATTCATATTCAGGAGATTGCTTTTTTATATATGAAGAAGGTTTGGGTTAATATAACATTAGTTTTGACTGATTTTCCTCGTGTGCCTATTGAAAAGTGAGAACATCTCAGCGAAAATCTTAGTCTGGTCATCATTTTCGCGGATTGAGAAGGAATTCTGACTTCAGCGATTGGCGATGCAGTACATTGTTCCCGATTTAATTCCGAGCAGAAGCTCGATAAATCGAAAATTTGATAAAAATCAGCAGTCATCAGGGAACTCGTATTTCAACAGAAAAAGAGACCAATTGTTTTCTCTGTAAAGCTCAGCCGACTGGATAAAATATTAGCTGTGTAACGGTTTTCCGGCGCTCTAATATGCTGTAAGCCGCGCCGAAAATCCTCTTCGTTTCAAGCAAAAATGAAAAACTATAAGTTTTACTGTAATTACTGATCACGGGTTCCACAATAGAATACTTTTCTTCCGCTAACCGTTTCGAAGAAGAAAAGCTGAATATCGTATTACGCGGAACACCCCGAACGTTTCTGAACAAACCTGCTCTCAATTCCCGGACTTCCAGTCCACGAAAACCTTTCTTGAAATCTAAATTTTCTCCTCCTCGGCGCCCCTCGACACACAAATTTTGCCATCGACGCTGTTGACAATAATCGTGGATGCGTAGATTCTCTCGCTTTTTTCTCTCTTTTAAATCCCTCACCATCTGTATTTTCCCTTCGACGAAACAACAACCGTGCTGAGCAAAGTTCATCCGCAAAAGACAAACACGAAAAAGTTGGCGGAAAAAAAGGAGAAGCTATAAGCGAGACGATTTGCCTTTCCGACTTGGGTGGGTGCCTCTGGCCCTGCTCATTTTTTCAAAAGCTTTCGGGTCAAATATCGACCCGAAGGAGGAGAATAAAAAAGAAAAAAAAATTGTGTGGATTCGTCGAAAAGCCGGGTTTCTATACGTGCTACTCAAATATTAATCAATTTCAGCATCGTCCCCCATCCTCGAAATCAGCAGGAGGCGGTTTCGATTACAAATTTTGCCGATTTCATAGATGTTTTCAGCTCAAATTCGAGTTTTTGATAAAAAAAAAGATTGTACTGTATGTTGAAAATGGATTTCATAAACTGAAGAAGTTCCAAACCTTTGCTCCAGCACTAGGGATTGTGTAAATGTCTGCGCAACATTTTGCCTAAGCAAATGGCAGACTTTTCTATGCATGGGATTCCGCACGCATTTGTTTCAAGGAAAAAACCTCAACCGAATAGCAACGAGAAGAAAAACTACACATTTTCAATATTTTGATTCTTGATTTTAAGAATTATCAACCTTAATTGATTTCGGTGTAGTAATAGCTAAGATTTTCTACTTTGTCGGAACGAAAAATTCATTAATCACGTTATTTCCTGCTCTTCCAATTCTTTTTATTTGTATACTTCATCGAAATTGGAACCCAATGCCCCTTTTTTTGCGTGATAATTTTAGACCCTGAAAAAAGCTGAGAAAAACATCTTGAAAACGGACGGGAATAAAAAATGAAAAACTTCGAAACTGAGGCGAACAAACAAGTGTTCGATTCAGAAACGATCACAAGGTGCAATTTTTAATTGCTTGTGTGAATTCCGTGGACAGGCTTTAATTTCGCCTGAAAACCTTCGTGTTTCCTCAAGTCGGTTTTATGACAAATTGTCCCATTCTCAGAAGAAAAAAAAAGACAAAAGAACCGCTTCTGGATACAATTTTAAACTGCGATTCGTGTCGTAATTTCATCTTGATTGAGTGTCGGTCGGGTAGTTGTGCTGGGGGATCTGTCGTGTCGGTGCCTGTCGTCATCAAAATCGCAAGAAATACCAAAGAAAGAGTCTCTTCGTCGACACCGGGTCTCGGAAATATGCACGTCGTTCTGCACGTCGTCATTGGCGCCTTTCTGATCGTCCAGTCCGGTGAGTGCATGATTTCTTATTTCATTTCATAAACAAATATGGATTTTCACTCAACTAAAAGAATAAAAAAAGGCAAATTTGTGACAATGTAAAATTTCAAAAATAAAAATTAATCTATGAATGTGTGGCGACATTCGTTGAACGTCGAAAAAGGTGCGGAGTTTTTTTATGAGATATGCTTGTTGATGACCGGACTTTATTTCTGAAATCATCCGCAATATGTGATGATCAAAACTGACTGAAATATTTAAGAGAATCATGAAATACTCACTAAACCGAAGTCATTTACGTTAACAACATTCCTCATGCAAATAATTTATTTTATCGTATATCAAATGCTCAAATTTCGGAAAGCCGAATCATCACCGGTTCTTTCTGTAAAAAAAAAAAAATCCAAACCCCCAAGATTAACAAAATATTGTATTCTCTTCGTAAATCAACTTTTGACTCATTTTGCTGGGATGCCTATGAAAAGGAGGTCCAAAATGTGAAAAAAATTAGAGGACACAATTGAATTATGATTGATCGAAGCTCGGATTCAGTTTTACTGTATTTCAAAAGTCATTGAAATCCTTGGAAAAACACACTCAGCATGAGCAGAAACATATGTTGAAGAAATGGGAAAATATATTTTTTGACTTGATAATTTTTAAAACCAAAAATGATTGAAATTTGTACAAAAAAGAGCAAGTGGATATTCATTCCCATGCAAATGTTTGCCATTAGCGCCTACTTCAAACTTTCTGAGTAGGTCAAGAAATAAATAGTGTTTCAAAATTGTAAAAGGTCTTATTATGGTAGACACAATTCTAACGTAACCCTTGAAAATATACTTCTGCTGTTTCCAAATGGAAAAACAGCTGAAAAAGTTTGAAAGAAAGATTATTTGTGAAAAGATATACTGTGCTCCATCTTTACTGAGTTCATGAACTTTAAAAATGCATAGCAATTAAAATAATCTGATAAGGCGCTACCGCGTGAACGCTCAAAAATGTTTTCTGGGATATTATTGATTGAAATGGGCAATCTTGAATGTCATCTCATCCCGTTTTCCTCAATTACAAAGAACAATTTGGAAATGCTCTTATACTTTTAAAATTCTGCTCCACGGCAAGGACTAAAAAAAGGGGGATTTATTGTCTGTAGGTTTTCAGGGGACATGGGTCATGTCAACCAAATGGTGATTCGGTGCCGAAAGTCCATCAATACTTGTTACCCATGATCCCATGATAGTCTTGGATGGTGGCTGGGAATTCCTGAAAAAAAATTACGTTTTCTCTGATACTCTCCAGAAATCCTTCTTCAAAAAACAAGCACTACTGCATTTTCTGTCAACATATTCGAAATGATGACCATCGCCATCAATGTTAAGGGTGTACAGTATATAAAAATGTTCGAACTACGACAGGCATGACAAAGAGCCGAAATATTTCTGAGCTCGTTTTTCACATTTCGAAACATTTCCATTGCGAATATTCGAATCGTAATAAATTTTCGGAACACCGTAGTACTGTATATTCAAAGAAACAAAGCTTGTAGGGTTTCACAAAATAACATGGAATTATCAAAAATTCAATATCCTTGGATTCAATAGAAAACCAAGCAGGAAAGGAGTTAATATTAGCACCTCAGAACCTTCACGTGCTAACTATAAATGGAAACTTCTTCTTTCCATAGAATGTATTTTCTGATTTGATGGAATGTTGATTGGGGAGGGGAGAGGGTTTGGATTCCTCAAATCTGGTGAACGCTGAAAAGCAGAAAATAAATCTTGTTAATAAATAAATCAATGAAATAATTGTATCGCATATTCGGAAATATATGCGAGCAGGTCGAGCAAAATTTTTTTTCCCTGCTGCATCATCAGCACCGCGAGAAATTCCATCAGCCTGATATCCCAGTCTCCAGCAGCTGCTAAAAAGGAAAACGGGAGTGCGAAAAATTATCCGCATAGGACTCGTCAATGTGAAAATAAACCCGAGCCTTTCGAGAATAGATTGATTTCATTAATCAATATCCTTCTCCCGTTTTCACCGACGCGGGGAACTTTTAGCCGCTAAAACCCTAGATCAAATAAACTCAACCAGCTGGGAACACATGAGGCATTTCTATGATATCGTCCGACCCCGCGTTTTGAAATCTGAAGAACGAGCTTCTGGAATAAACCCGGATTTCACTGCCGTACTTCGTTTCCTGCTGCCCTATGGAAGCTTATTTGTAGAACTAAAGAAGT